TCAAGAAGCTATTGCAAAAGAGGCAGCAGAAGATGCAAAAAAACAAATTGAAGAAGCTGGTGGTAAGGTATCATTAAAATAATAATAAAAATGTCAATTAAATCAAATTTAATTGACATTTTTATTATTATTTTGATATATTTCTATATATCTTATCTAACGCGGAGTAGAGCAGCCTGGTAGCTCGTTGGGCTCATAACCCGAAGGTCAATGGTTCAAATCCATTCTCCGCTATGAGATTAAGTAATAATCTAATAAAAAAAAGTTTTTATGCTAAAATAACATACTGAGCATTAACTATTTATTAATTTTTTAAAATGACATTAAATTTACAAACACCTTTTCCAACTTTTGGTGGTAGTACTGGTGGCTGGTTACGCTCAGCTGAAGTTGAAGAAAAATATGCTATTACATGGACAAGCGCAAAAGAACAAATCTTTGAAATGCCTACTGGTGGTGCTGCCATTATGCGTAATGGAGAAAATTTGTTGTATTTAGCTCGTAAAGAGCAATGTTTAGCACTTGGAACTCAATTACGAACTTTTAAAATTAATAATTATAAAATTTATCGAATTTTTCCAAGTGGTGAAGTTCAATATTTACATCCGAAAGATGGTGTTTTCCCTGAAAAAGTTAATCCAGGTCGAATCTCCGTTGGTAGTCGTGATTTTTCTATTGGAAAAAATCCTAATCCAGCTTTAATTAAATTTAGTGGAATAGCGACATATGACGCTTAATTAATATTATTTAAGATTAGTTCTTATAACTAATCTTTTTGGCGAGATGGCAGAGTTGGTCGATTGCGTCTGATTTGAAATCAGATGAATCTTTGCAGGTTCCGTGGGTTCGAATCCCACTCTCGCCTTTAATGAAATAGACGTAAACTAATTAGGATTGCTTAACCGTGAATAATATTGTAAAAGTTCATTTATGAGTAAAGTTTACGATTGGTTTGAGGAACGTTTAGAAATTCAAGCCATTGCTGATGATATTTCTAGTAAATATGTTCCACCTCATGTTAATATTTTTTATTGTTTTGGTGGTCTTGTTCTTACTTGTTTTTTAATTCAAGTTGCAACTGGATTTGCTATGACATTCTATTATCGTCCAAGTGTAGTTGATGCGTTTGCTTCGGTTGAATATATTATGACAAGCGTCAATTTTGGATGGTTAATTCGTTCACTTCACCGTTGGTCGGCAAGTATGATGGTGTTAATGTTAGTATTACACGTTTTTCGTGTCTATTTAACGGGCGGATTTAAAAAACCCCGAGAATTAACTTGGGTAACCGGAGTCATTTTATCAGTTGTCACTGTCTCTTTTGGTGTAACGGGTTATTCACTACCATGGGATCAAGTTGGTTTTTGGGCTTGTAAAATTGTAACTGGTGTTCCTGCTGCAGTACCGATTGTTGGTCCACCATTAGTTTTAATTTTACGTGGTGGAGAAAGTGTTGGTCAAGCGACTTTAACACGATTTTATAGTGCTCATACATTTGTTTTACCTGTTGCAGCAGCAGTATTAATGTTAACACATTTTTTAATGATTCGTAAACAAGGTATTTCAGGGCCATTATAATAAAAATAAAAAAATAATAATAAACTTAGTATGTCAGTAATTAAAAAACCGGATTTAACTGATCCTAAATTAAGAGCTAAATTAGCTAAAGGAATGGGTCATAATTACTATGGTGAACCTGCTTGGCCAAATGATATTTTATATATTTTCCCATTAACAATGTTAGGAATGTTAATGTGTTGTGTAGGTTTAGCAACATTAGCTCCTACACAGATGGGTGAACCAGCTGATCCATTTAATACCCCATTAGAGATTTTACCAGAATGGTATTTTTTTCCTACATTTAATTTATTACGAGTACTACCAAATAAATTATTAGGAGTATTAGCAATGGCTGCAGTGCCAATTGGTTTAGTAACTGTACCTTTTATTGAGAATGTTAATAAATTCCAAAATCCATTCCGCCGACCATTAGCAAGTCTAACATTCATTGTTGGATTTATTTTTGCTGTTTGGTTTGGAATTGGAGCATGTTTACCAATTGACAAAGCTGTTTCCTTAGGTTTTTGGTAAAAATTGACGTTTTTATCAAAGCTTTTAAGATTAATTTATTAAACAATCAAGTCTGATTGTTTAATAAATTAATCTTAAAAGCTATTCCTAAGTAAATAAAAATTCCAACGAATGTTAAAATATTCAAAAAACGTTGTGCAGAACGTGGTGAACCTAATAAGTTGCTTTTGTTTGCAAAACTTGCAAGTCCAACATTTTCTTGAGGAATTCGTAAAAAAATAATAACAATTAAAAAAAAACTTAGACAAATTCCAAGTATTTTTAACATAGATTTTTTTTTTAGTTAATAAATTTTATTTTAACTATTTATTTCTCCATTTCGAACACTTCATCAAAAACTTTACCTACTTTATCACCGGAATCAATTGATTCTAATGGGTCTTTACGTAAACGATGTCGCAAGCATAAAGTAATAATTGCTTGAATATCTGCCACAGTTACTTTATCACGTTTATTATAAGCTGCATGTGCTTTAGCAGCTCGATTAGTTACTATATCACCACGTAAGCCATCCACATCTAATTGACTACAAACTTCTGAAATTTTAATTCGTAGGTTATAATCCATTTCAACTTTTGGTAATAACTTTTGAGCTGCAATAATCTTATCACGTAAATTTTGTTGTTCTGTTTCATAGTTTTCAATCCAAACCATTGGGGTTTGGTCAAATGATGTTCGTTCTTCAACAACTTTAACACGTAAAACTGGGTCTTTAACTGTACGAATTTCTGCGTGCATGCCAAATCGATCTAGTAATTGTGGCCGTAATTCACCTTCTTCAGGATTTCCTGAACCAACCAATACAAACCGAGCAGGGTGACGGATTGAAATACCTTCACGTTCAACTGTATTCCAACCGGAAGCTGCAGAATCTAATAAAATATCAACCAAATGATCATCTAGTAAATTTACTTCATCAACGTAAAGTAACCCACGATTTGCTTTAGCTAATAAACCAGGTTCAAATGCTTTTATACCTTCAGTTAATGCTTTTTCAATATCAATCGTTCCACAAACCCGATCTTCTGTAGCTCCTAATGGTAAGTCTACCATTGGAATTTTAATCAATTCTGTTTCTAAATTTTCATTGTTTTGAATTGCCATTTTTACTTCATTTCCCATTAACTCCAAATCTGATTTATGGGAATTAAACGGATCATCTTTTACAATTTCAATTTCTGGAAGTAAATCAGCAATTGCTCGAATTGTAGTTGATTTTCCAGTACCTCGATCACCCATAATCATAACCCCACCAATTTTAGGATCAATAACATTTAATTGCAAAGCAAGTTTCATTTCTTCTTGGCCGACAATTGCTGTAAATGGAAAAACTGGAGTATTAAATTTTTTTAAATTGTTTGTTACCATAGTTTTAAAATGATTATTAAAATATAAAATTTCTTTAATTATTAAAAAATTGTTTTCAATAAAAGTTTTATTTATATAATGTTATCCCTAATTGAATAGATAAAATTGCTGCTAATAATGCAATACATAATGCGGTATAAACTTGTGAATCTAAAATCATATGACCTTTCTGAATTCTATGTTTAAAATATTGTAGTTCTAAAAAATTTAATATAGTATGAAAAAGAGTTCTCTAAGATTTATGTTTATAATTATAAACTAAATTATCAAAAATTTTTAATTTTAATCAAGACTGAATTTTTAATTACCAACTTGATTTAGTAACACCGGGTAATAAACATTGATGAGCCATTTCTCGAAAAATATGACGTGAGGTTCCAAAATCTCGAAATACGCCACGAGGCCGGCCTGTTTTCCAACATCGATTACGTATGCGTGTTTTGGAACTATTACGAGGAAGCTTTTGAATTTTTGAATGTAATTTCAATTTTTTAGTAAAATCTTGTTCCTTTTGATAACTTTTTAATAATGTTGTTCGTTTTGTAGCATACTTTTTCTCTAAGCGAATACGTTTTCTTTCTCGCTCAACCATACTTTTTTTTGCCATAAAAAATTTAAGATAATGAATTTTGTAAAATGATATAGAAAGTTAATAATTATATTTAGTTGTTATTACTTTACTCTATTTTAAAGATTTAAACAAGTCGAATTTTCTAAAACATTTATCAATTATTAAATTTAAGTAATTTTCTTGATCTTTGCTTATAATAATATAATATAATAGCTAACTTTTCTTTAGTTTAGTTGTAAGAAAGTCAAAACCCATTATTTATATTGAGGAATGTATTACTATGGCATTACCATGGTATCGTGTTCACACTGTCGTTTTAAATGATCCTGGAAGATTAATTGCAGTACATTTAATGCATACAGCTTTAGTTGCTGGTTGGGCTGGATCAATGGCATTATATGAGTTAGCTGTTTTTGACCCGTCTGACCCTGTTTTAAATCCAATGTGGCGTCAAGGAATGTTTGTTATGCCATTTATGACTCGTTTAGGTATTACAGATTCTTGGGGGGGTTGGAGTATTACTGGAGAAAGTGTTTCAAATCCAGGTATCTGGAGTTTTGAAGGTGTTGCATTATCACACATTGTTTTATCGGGTTTATGTTTCTTAGCTGCAATTTGGCATTGGGTATATTGGGATTTAGAACTATTTCGTGATCCAAGAACGGGAGAACCTGCTTTAGATTTACCAAAAATTTTTGGTATTCATTTATTTTTATCAGGTTTAGCATGTTTTGGTTTTGGAGCATTTCACGTAACTGGTTTATTTGGACCAGGTATTTGGGTTTCAGATGCCTATGGTATTACTGGTAAAGTTCAACCAGTTGCACCGGCTTGGGGTGCTGACGGTTTTAATCCATTTAATCCTGGTGGTATTGCGGCACATCATATTGCTGCAGGTATTTTTGGAATCTTTGCTGGTATTTTTCATTTAACTGTACGTCCTCCACAACGATTATATCGTGGTTTAAGAATGGGTAATATTGAAACAGTATTATCGAGTAGTATTGCAGCAGTTTTCTTTGCTGCTTTTGTAACTTCTGGGACAATGTGGTATGGTGCTGCAGCAACACCAATTGAGTTATTTGGTCCAACTCGTTATCAATGGGATAGTGGATACTTTCAACAAGAAATTGAACGACAAGTTGAAGTCTCTGTAAGTGAAGGGTTATCTGAGAGCCAAGCCTGGTCACGAATTCCAGATAAATTAGCATTTTATGACTATATTGGAAATAATCCGGCAAAGGGCGGTTTATTCCGTGCTGGACCAATGGATAAAGGAGATGGTATTGCTGAAGCTTGGTTAGGTCATCCAATTTTCCGTGATAAAGAAGGTCGGGAATTAACAGTACGTCGTATGCCCGCATTCTTTGAAACATTCCCAGTTATTTTAGTCGATAAAGATGGTATTATCCGTGCTGATATTCCGTTCCGTCGTGCCGAATCTAAATATAGTATTGAGCAAGTGGGTGTCACTGTCGATTTTTATGGTGGTAAATTAAATGGTCAAACATTTAAAGACGCACCAACAGTTAAGAAATTTGCTCGTAAAGCACAACTAGGAGAAGTTTTTGAATTTGATAGAACAAGTTTAGAATCTGATGGCGTATTCAGAAGTAGTCCACGTGGTTGGTATACTTTTGGTCATGCTAATTTTGCATTATTATTCTTCTTTGGACATTTATGGCATGGTGGTCGAACAATTTTCCGTGATGTATTCACAGGTATTGGAGCAGAAGTTACAGAACAAGTAGAATTTGGTGCATTCCAAAAACTTGGTGACAAATCAACAAAAAAACAAGGTGCTGTGTAAAATATAGCCAGGTTTTTAAATTTATTTATATTTAAATAGGATCAGATAATGGAAGCGTTAGTTTATACATTTTTACTTATTGGTACTTTAATGGTAATCTTTTTTGCTGTATTTTTTAGAGAAACACCACGTATTATTAGAAAATAAAACCAAATAAATTAGTTTTATTTTTTAATCTTCATGTTCTTCAAATGGATCGCGCAAATTTTTAGATGTTGGTCCAAAAGCTGTATAAATTGAATATGCAGTAATCCCTAAAAGTAAACTTGATACAAAAATTACAATAATAGTTGCTGTTTCCATGCGATATAATATTATTATTAACAATATGATATTATATAGCATTTCTTATAAAAATTCATTTATTAAAAATATAAAATATTTTTATGGCATTACGAACAAGATTAGGTGAAATTTTACGCCCATTAAATGCTGAATATGGTAAAGTTGCACCAGGTTGGGGGACTACTCCAATTATGGGTGTAGTAATGGTTGCGTTTTTAGTATTTTTATTGATTATTTTACAAATCTATAATTCATCATTAATTATTGAAAATGTTGATGTAGATTGGGCAAATGGTATTGTATAATACTAATAAAGTGATTTAAAAGGTAATTTATACCTTTTAAATTATAAAATTTACATAATTTAAATATATATATATGGATATCATCAGTTTAGGTTGGGCCGGTTTAATGACAATGTTTACGTTTTCATTAGCGTTAACAGTTTGGGCTCGAAATGGTTTCTAACTATTTAAACTTTTTATAATTTTTAAAATTCAAAGTCTTATGGAATTAATTCGACAAATCTTTCCCTATGCAAGTCCAGAAATTGTAAGTACTACAGTTATTTGCTTTTTAATGACTTTATTTGGACTTTCTTTAGGATTTGCTTTGTTAAAAGTACAAGGTGAATAAAAATATATTTAATAATAATATAATTAATATTATTATTAATAAAGTATTCATCACTATACGATTAAAAAATAGACTCAGACAAGTCTCGTAATTTAACTATGCTTACAAATAGAGATACTACCAAATTTTCAAATTATTTATCTTTGGATCATTGGGAAGCATTTGCTATATATAATGCAAACAATGAGCTAGCGTATATTGATTTATACGATCATCATTTTAGAGTACCATTTGAGGAGTACCTAAAGACTAAATTAAAGAACTGCTCAAATGGTTGACGAGAGATGCTGACAATTTTAATACAAATTGTCAATATTTTGTAGATGAGTTTATAAAAATTATTAATTATTTTATGGTCAAAAGTGATATTTTGAGATTCTATGTTGGTGTTTTAGTTATGTTCTTAACTTACAGACTAGTTTTTTCACTTGTTTTGACTACTCTTGAAACTGCAGAACAAATTACTTTACAAAAGAAACAGGCTAATGATAGAAAAAGTACTGGCTCTACTGACTCTAAAATTATTTCTAATAATTTGAGAGGTGGTCAAGCTAAGGGGGTAACTTGCTTTATACGTAAAGTGGTTCCAGGGGTTTATAAAAGGGCTGTGCAAATAGCAGTATCATCTGGTGTTGTAGCTACGTTAGGTGTTATGCGAGGAATAGCTAGCTATGATTGGTGGGCTACTTATATTTCTTATGGGTTGGTTAATTTAACAGAAGAAGATAGAATTATATTAGCTAGTTTAAGGCGTATGCGATTGGGCTTACCAATTGGTATTGTTTGTATGTCAGTTACGACTGAGTTGCAGCTTATGTTGTATAACGGTGATTTTAAGGAAGCTATCGATGAGTGGATGGTTCTTCTTACACGTTATGATAAATTGTCTGAGGCAGATCCGAAAAAAAATGGTTTTTTTACCTGTATTGTGCTGTTTATAACGGGGCTTTTAGTAAAATATCCTGGCTTTGCGATTAATTTGTTACGTTATTTACAATATTTGTGTGTTACTGGTAGGATCAGTTATAAGACTTATTTAGAAATTTTATGGCAAATTTTAATTGAATCTGAGCGGAAGCAAATACCTGCTCGTAAAGCAGTATTTAATTTTGTGATAAAAAATTTTTTCTCTGATTAATTTTTGAGTTTAAAAAAAAAAAACTCCCAGTTTTTTTAGCACTTGGGAGCTTTTTGAAGCTATTATAGCACGTCATAGAAGCTTATGAGTTAAAAAACTCCCAAAACTCCCAGACTTTCTATATAATGTATAGGAGAGAATAGGTTAGTGGATTTACTAGCCGAAGGCTACTACTAACCTATTAAATTTTTTGAATTTGTTAAAATCTGTCAGGATTTTTAGATCTGTTGAAATCTATTCAGATTTCAGCAGATTTCTCTATTGTTTAAGATTAAGAAAACTTACAATGATACATAGTTTGCAGAAGCGTTGGGTCTTTACCTGGAATGCTGATAAAGACGACAAATTACCATCACCTAAATCTGTTCAGGATAAACTGAATAATATTGCATCTGAAGCTGTTTTTCAGCTCGAGGTTGGTGAAACTACGAATCGTAGGCATTACCAAGGTCGTTTAAAATTATTAAGTCGGAAAAGTAAAAAAGCTTTGCTAAAGATATTCAGTGAAATATTTTCAACGGAAAACTTGACTCTTCAAGTTGAACTCGCTTACGATAGTTCGAGTTACTGTGAAAAATTGGATACTCGTATTGCGGGTCCGTGGTATGCGGGTTTAGCAGATTATTTGTCGGAAAAAGAAGAGATGAAGCTGGAATTAAAAAAATGGCAAAGTCAGTTACTGGGTCTGATTACTGGTCGGTACCAGAATTATTTTCGAAACAGAAAAGTGGTGTGGATAGAGGATATGGTAGGGGGTCAAGATAAATCTACTTTTATTCGATATTTGGCTGCAAATGAAAAAACTTTAGGTATAGGAATTGAGAAATTGCCGATTGATAGACCTAATCGAGTAAGGTCAGCCGTTATAAAATTATCTAAAAGAAAAAATGTTGACGTTTATATGTTCGATTTTACAAGAACACGAGGTGATGATACAAGATTAAATGATCTTTTTGAGGTGATTGAAGAATTAAAGAATTCTTTTATAGTCGATATAATGTATGGAAACTTTAATCGGGCTTTTTTAAAACCGTCGATTGTGCTGATATTTACTAATGAAGATATAAGCAAGTTTTGTGACTATTTATCCCTCGTTGGGAGTCATTCACAATATGTCACAGTAATAATGAGCTAGCGTATATTGATTTATACGATCATCATTTTAGAGAACCCTTTGAGCATTACTTAGTGACCCGATTAACAGACTGCTCAAATCATTAATCAGTTACAGTGATAATTCTTATTATGTAGAATTGTCAATGTTTATTTTTTAAATTTTAATAAAAGAGGTTGCGATGGTTTTAGGTTATCCTTTTTCATATGGTGATGAATTGACTCCAGAAATAGCTCCATTAAACCGATAGAGGCATAGTTTGTTTATGGTTATGGGTTTGGTAATGCTAATACACTAATATACCTCGGCGTCAAATTTGTCTTAATTATGGTATTGTTTCAAGATCAGTTACAGGTTCTAGTACCGTTTTACAAGAAAATTTAAATAACAATAATATAGTAGGGGTCCGAATGATATAATTGAATATATTAAATATATTAGGGAGTTGGGTTGTAGGATTGATCCTAAACAGTTTCAGCGTAAGTTTAAGCATGCTTCCGACTTCGACGTGCTGGGAAATTATAGTAAAGAAAATGGTTTACTGTTTAGAGACAAGATTGTAGATCATATGAAAAATCTTAATACAAAATTAATAAATGGCACGTTTAAACCTCAAGAGGTAACTATGTATTTCAATGAAGAAACTAGTTTGAACGTAATATTAGACACTACAGGTAACTTCGTTAGTGGTTGGAAATTAGCGAAAGATTAAGCTATAAATGTGCGAGATAGAGCAGCTTTATAATGAATAATTTAGAAGAAAATATGTTATTGTTAGAAGACTTCAATTTTTGGTCCAATCGTTTTGATTATATCGAGTTGATGAAAGGGTTAAAAAATGGTATTATAAGTATTGAAGAGTTTCATGACCAATTTTGCTACATGTGGAGATTAAACCTTTGCCAGCCACCCGTCTGTTGGCTTTTCAGCGTTTTATTTTTATATGCTTATTTTACAAGCTATAATTTAGCGGGACCCTTCGGCTATCGTCGGATTTTTTTTAACACTTTCAACCTTTTTCCTCATTGAAATTAGAGTTTTCCAGCTGCTTTTGCTAATACCACTATTAAATAAGTTCCAATTCCCAAAAGTTCTTTTCCTGCTGGTAACAAGTTTACAGTTGTCGGTTGAGAAGCTGGAGCCACTTGACTTCCAGGAGTTAGATTTGTTGAAGGTGGAGAACTAGGCGTTCCACCTAATAATAAAGATTCAGGAAGTAAATACACCACAAGTGCAATCCTTAAAACTGTTGGACCATAAATTTTTATTATTTTTAATAAACCTTTTCCCGCTTTAGATATATTGTCTTTTGCTTCATTTTCACTTAATCTTTCACTAACGACATAAGGAAATTTATCAATTTCACGTTTCTTTATCATAATTGCAACTGATTTTTTGTTAATAATTTTTATAGTCAAATGAAAAAATATTCTGTATAATAATATAGTTAATACAATCATTCTTCATTTTAATATTATATGTAAATTTTTGGGCTTGCCGTTTAACATATTGCGGAAGCCTGGATAATTATACTGTTTGTTCAGGGGCCCAACTTTTCATAATACCTGGAATATAATTATTATCATCACTTAATAGTTTTAATTTTTTTTTGTTTTCCTCCATATTTTTATAATTATTCGAAAACATTTCTAATAACAAAATTGTCCAGACTTTGAGTCTGGTATATTTGTAGGTATAACAGTTTCCGTTAAATTCTGCCAAGTACAAAATGATCGAACGACAAAGATTATTTTACTTGAAACTTTAGCTTGTTGAACTATCAGATCTTTTCGATCGACTGATTTAAAAATAGCTTTTATTTGCCAC